ATGATAAAAATTGTTATATTCATAGCATGTAATACTACTCAGAAATAAAAAAGAAACAAACTTCGATGCACACAATAATGTAAATGAATTTCAAAAATGTTACATTGAACAAAAGCAGCCAGATATACATGAGCATATACTGTATGACCATCGATATGAAGATTTAGAACAGTGAAAGTAAGTTATACCGAACGAAAAATCGTAACAGAGGATGCCACTGTTGGGGGAGTAGGAGTTGGTGGATTTCTGGACTGTTTAGAAAGGAACACAAGCAAACTTTCAGGGGTGATGGAAATGTTCTTTTCTTGATTGGGCTGATGATTACAGGTATATGTAATTGCCAAATTCAACGAACTGTCTCTGAAGAAGTGTGCATTTATCTTTGTGTAAATTATACCTCCTTTTAGGAGGAGCCACTTCAGAATTCTTGGCACTAAATAAAATTGCAGAATTTTTTTGTCAGGAAGCCATGAAGATAGTTCAGTCATAAATTAAGACTCATTTCAAGTAGAGACAGATAGGCTAACAACACTCCAGTTTTCAGTAGATGTGGCTGGTGCTCCATAAACCTGGAATAAGGGTGCTGCAGCACAACCTTTTGGCATGCAATCTTTCAAATTTGTGGAGTTAGCTGAGTTAGCCTAACATTACATTCTAGTATTCTTTTTATTCCTGACACAGCTTCATTAACAGAATACTACTTATCTGCTGTTTGCTCAAGATTTCTTGTAATTTGCATAATCCTCTATGGTGGAATCTGCATTCTTCTTGGCAGAAAGATAGAAGCTGTTTTTGCCTGGTAATTAAGTATCAGTCATCAACAAACCATGATTTAGTTCTTCTAGCATCCTTCCAACAGCAGTGTCTGCTTGGGCCTTTTTTTTCCAGGGAGGCTGAAGCAGGTGCTTCACTGGTACTGTCACCATTTCCATTTCTGAGTGGCTGCAGCATTTTTCTCTCATAGATTAGACTTCTTCTCTCCCAGGGCAGCCCCTCTTATCTTCCCGTCTGAATATTGCTCCTGACTGGCTTCCTGAAGTTCTTTTAATTTGCAGATTAGTTTCCAATCTTTGAGTACTCTGCTTTCCAGAACCCATTCATCCCAGTTCTTATTCCAACTGTAATATACAAAGTATTTCAGTAATTGAAACTTTATGAAAAGCTTTAGACACTGTACTTCCTAGACAGTTGATATATAAATTTGTATTGGTTTTATTAGTTTCAGGTGTACACTATAGCGATTTGACATTTTTATACCTTACAATGTAATCACCTCACTAATACTAGCAACGATCTGTCACCTTGCAAATTTATCACAATATTAACTATATTCCCCTTCCCCTTTTCACCCATCCCTCGCCCCTCCCCCTTATGGTAACCATGCTTTGGGTTTCGTTTCTGTGAGACAGCTTTTGTTGTTGGTTTGTTTGGTTATTTCTAGATTCCACATATAAGTGAAACCATACAATATTTGTCTTTCTCTGCCTGATTTCACTTAGCGTAATACTCTTTAGACCTACCCATCCACGTTGTCACAAATGGTATGATTTCATTCTTTTTTATTGCTGCATAATAGTCCATCATTGTATATATACCAAATCTTCTTTATCCATTCACCTATCGATGGACATTTAGGTTGCTTTCATATCTTGGTTATTGTAAATAATGCTGCAATTAACATAGGCGTACATACATCTTTTTGTGTTTTCATTTTCTTTGGATAAATAACCAGAGGTGGAATTGCTGGGTCATATGATATAAGACATGTAGAATTATTTCCAAAGATTTTATTTATTTATTCTTACAGAGAGGAAAAGAGAAGGAGGAAGAGAAGAAGAGAAACACTGATGTGAGAGAGAAACGTTGACTGGTTGCCTCTCTCACACTGCCATGACCAGGGACTGGGCCCACAACCCAGGCATGTGCCCCGACCAGGGATTGAACCCATGACTTTTCACTTTGTGGACCAATGCTCAACCAACTGAACTACACCAGTCAGGACAACAAGGTAGAATTTTTAAAAATGACACGTGGTCTCACACTTGACATAGTAAATTAGACTATCTTCATTTTGCCTTGTTTCACACAATGCTTTAATATACTTCCTTGGATAAGTGTTCCTGTTGCGTAAAATGCCTGGAAACAAAAATCAGTTTCTATGTTTCTAACTTTTACTCTATTCAATTCAACATTCCTTTAAATTAAATCAGACTCTCCAGGTAAATCAATTATTTGGGGGTGGACAATGCCAACCCTAGGGAAAGAATATTGATTCAAATAGGATTACATTATCCCTCAACTCAGAGAAGGTGTGAGGAAAAACAAAAGGAAGCTTCCTTTAAAGAATGCCAGCTAATAAATATAGAGAGAATGAAAAAATGACAACATCGCCATTTTGTGACTCCCAAATAATTGACTCAGGCAAAGCAAGAATCATTCATTGATGTTAAATCAATGAGATGAAAGGTCACCTCAATGGGTGTGTTCGTTAGATATTTTGGTGTAACAAAGTGCCATAACAATTAGCAGTTGAAAACAACTAACATTAATTTACGGTTTCTGAGGGTCATGTATCCTGGAGCATCTTAGAGAGGTGCTGTCAGCCAGGGCCACACTCATGTCAAAACACAAACAGGGCTGAATGCGTCTGCTTCCAAGCTCTCTCATAGGCTAGTTGGAAGGCTTTTCAGTTCCCTGAGGTCTGTTGGACCAAAGGCCTCAGTTTTGCCACACAATATGGGTCACTTCATAGATGTGCTCCAACAGCACAGGTAGCCCAAGAGAGAGGCAGAGACACAGGGAGGCAGAGATAGAGAAACAGAGCCAGAAGCACATCTTTTTATAATGAAATATATAGAAATGACAATCCCACCACATCTATCTATTCTATTTATTAGAGGAGAATCAATAAATCTGATCCATGACCAGAGGGAGGAGATTATACAAGTGCATAAATGCCAGGAATGGGAATCTCTAGGGTGATCTCAGAAGCTGCTTAGCACAATGAAATGTGTTTATATGTTTTTATGATTCCAAAGTATTATCCAACAGATTGCATAAGAATTCATTAAGGAAAACATGTATATTACAATGGAGAGATTTAAGTTATCAAGCTTAGCATCTCAAATAGTGGAACTTCCAGAGATAATACAGTACGAATTTTACAACATCATCTATGAATTAGTACTGACAAATGTGTTTAGTTAATCTAAATTCAATTAATCTTTAGACTTAATTTTACTTTATAGTACATTGAGGAGATGGATGGAAGTTACCAAGTGCATGAGGAATCAGCCAGACAAATCCAGAATGTAGGCCATTCCATAAAACAGCCTTTTGGGACTCTTCAAAGGGTCAATGCCGTCTAGGAAAAAAGTGTTGGGGGATTAATCCAAAACTAAAGAGACACAACTGAGATGTGTGATCTTGACTGGATCCTGGATTGAGCAAAACTAACAAACAGAAACAGCTAAAAAAAGACATTTTGGGGATAATGAAAGAAATTTTAATATGTAATAGTTATGAGAACATAGTATACATTGTTGTATTATTGTCATACAATTAGGTGGGATAATGGATTTATTTTGTGGGAAAATGTCCTGTTTCTTAGAATATGCTGCAACATTTTGCAGTAGTATTATAAGGTCTGCAACTAAACTTTTCAATAGTATAACAATTGCACTGGCCAGGTGACTCAGTTGGAGTGTCGTCCTGTACACCAAAAGGTTGCAGGCTCGACTCCTGGTCAGGGCACATACCTAGGTTGCAGGTTCAATCCCTGGTCGGGGTGCATGTGGGAGCCACCCAATGTTTCTCTCTCACATCAATGTTTCTCTCTCTCTCCTCCTTTCTATCTCTAAAATCAATAAATGTATCCTCGGGTGAGGATTAAAGAAAAAAACATTAAAAAAAATAATGCACAATCACCATGTGTTTGGGTGTGTGTGCATGCTTATGTGTATGTACAGGGAGAAAAAAACACATGTGGAAAAAGGTTAACAATTGTTGAATCTAGAGTACATAGTGTTCAATGTACTGTTTCTTAAAAATTGTTTTAAAAACTTTTCTGTTTGCCTGGAATTTTTCAAAATAAAAATTGGGGAAAAATTTCTTTCATTTTTACCTCCAAAAAATTCTTCTGGTCTTAAAACTCTATTTTAGCTCATCTTTCCTGATATGTAGTTCCCCTCTGAGGAGTGTATAAAATGTCAATAATAACTCCTCTCTTTTTTTACTCAAGAAACTTCCTGAGAACAATTACTAAATACAGTAGTCTTTTTTTTTTTAAATCCTCACCCAAGGGCATTTTTTCATTGCTTTTAGAGAGAGAGGAGGGGAGAGTGGAAGGGAGAGAAACACTGGTTTGAGAGAGAAGTGTCGATCACACTGGGACCTGAGATCCTATGCACCCAGACCAGGGATCAAACCCACAACCTAGGCATGTGCCCTTACCAGGAATCAAACCTGCAGCTTTTTGATTATGGGAGGACGCTCCAACCAACTGAGCCATACAGGCCAGTGCTAAATACAGTAGTCTTTTCCACGGTTTCTCTTTCTGAGGTTTCAGTTATTCACGAACAGCAGCAATCTGGAAATATTACATGGAAAATTACAGAAATAAGCAATTTATAAGTTTTAAATTGTGTTTCTGAGTAGCATGATGAAATCTCAACCCACCCACTCACTCCTGCCCAGGATGTGAATCATCCCTTTGTCTAGCATCTCCATACTGCACACACTACCAAAACATTAGTCACTTAGCCTAGCCATCTAGGTTATCAGATAGACTGTCAGGTATTGAAGTGCTTCACGTTCAAGTAACCCTTACAGTAGCCTAACATTACACAACGCCTGTTAGTCACCTCATTTCATCTCATCATACAGGCATTGTATGATATCACATCATTACAAGAATGGTGAGTATGGTAACAGAAGATCTTTTGGGAGACCAGATTTACATAACTTTTATTACAATATACTGTTATAATTGTCCTATTTTATTATTAGTTATTGTTGTTAATGTCTTACCGTGCCTAATTTATAAATTAAATTTTATCATAGCTATGTAGGTATAGGAAAAAACAGTATATACAGTAAATCCTCACTTAACATCAATAGGTTCTTGAAAACTTCAAATTGAAATAACATATGATAAAATCATTTTACCACAGGCTAATTGATATAATCAGGAGTTAAGTTTCTACAGCGTATTTCTGGTCACAAACACATCACCAAATTTTTAAGTCCTTTTAATATTAAACATTGAAATAAATGTGAACTATACATACATTTAAGAAAGATTAATTAAAAGCGAATGAGATCACCATTTTCTAGCCTGCTTATTCCAGTTCAGGGTCACAGGAGGCCAGAGCCTATCCCAGTAGCTCAGGGGAAACGGTGGACATCCACCCCATCTGTACAGGCCACCTTCCCATTACAGGGCACACTCACACTCATTCAGACTGGGACAATTTAAATCCCAATTCACCTCACATGCAATTCTTTGGCATGTGTGAGGAAACCAAAGTACTCAGAGAAAACCCACACAGATATGGGGAGAATGTGAAAACTCCACATAGACAGTGGCCCTGGCCGGGAATCAATTTTTTTCCTCTCCAACAACATTATACCAAAATGACATTATTTGAGGACCTGCTGTATAGGTATTTGGTACTATCCATGGTTTCAGGCATTCACTGTGGGTCTTGGAATATGTTTCTCCTTGGATAATGGGGACTACTGTACAACATGCCACTTTATATTAGAGTTGATGATTACATTTTGGCTTCCTCACTCAACTGGAATCTCTGTGAGGTAAGGACTAGGTTTTATATATCAGTGCACAAAACTCACGGCAGTAAATTACTCAATTTATACCACATCTGTTGATACTCATTAGGTTAAGCCAAAGAACAATAAGAAACAGAAGCCAAACAGAGAATCTGCTTTAATATTGGCTTGTACTTTGCACAGCATAGAATTCATTCAGCTTTCAAAGAGCTTTACAATCTTTACAATCCGTATACTAGGGATATTCATGATTGTTGACTCATATTTTTCAAAACTTTATTTTCTTATTGAAAAGTAGCAGGTTAAGCCCTGGCTGTGGCTCAGTGGATTGAGTGCTGGCCTGTGAACCGAAAGGCCACTGATTCAATTCCCATTCAGGGCACATGCCTGGGTTGCCGGCCAGGTCCCTAGTAGGGAGCGCGTGAGAGACAACCACACATTAATGTTTCTCTCCCTTTCTTTCTTCCTCCCTTCTCCTCTCCAAAATAAATTTTAAAAATCTTACAAAAAAAAAAAAAGTAGCAGGTTAAATCCTAATCATATCAGGATTAACAACACTTTGTTTTTAAGTAGGGGTTTACAGATAAGTTTATAGATCTTTCATCACTAAATCTTCCCATGTTATAAAGTCCTGAGGTAAAAGATGAAAAATGTGTTTAAATTTATAGCTGGTTTAAAAAGAAAAGCATATAAAGAGAACAAGTGACCTGTCTAAAATCACATAATTCTGAAGACTTTATTTCTCTTTTCAATGATGCATGTTTGTTTTCTACTCGAAGAGTTGGACTGTACTTTACAAAAACCTAAAATAAATTATTAGATCAAGAAATGTGACTTAATTCATTAAAAAAATACATTTGTAAGTACTGTGTATTTTTACTGTTTTTTATGAACATTCTCAAAGATTTCCAACCCTCAGTCATCTTCTTGACACAGGTCCATTTCATTTATGTAGTAATAAATAATAAATCAGAATTTTGTTGATTTAATGTTTTTATCCAAAACTTCAATAATGGCTTCTTCGTCTGCTGATTGAAGCAGTCTCTGAATGAGCTGATCCAAGCACTTTTCCCCAGATAAAAACTTCTGGTAAAAGAAAGAGTTATTATGAAAATCTGATTACTACAAATAAAGGAGAAATGAAGCAAAGAATTAAGTGTATATTTATTTCATTTCTTTATAGTCCTTGTTTAATAGCAACAAAGGATTACTAATCTACAATATACTGAATTGGTATACTTGCTAATTGGTATACTTGCTAATTGGTATACTTACTGGTATACTGAATTGGCTAACTTGGGAGGATGTTCATTGTTATTTTTAATGAAAAGTAGCAGGGTAAGCCTTAAATATAACCTAATTAACAATGCTTTATATTTAAATAGGAGTTTACAAAGCAGTTTATAAATCTTATATCACTAAATTTCACCATGTTATGAAATTCCTAAAGTAACAGATAAAAAAACATGTTTAAATTACTTTTACAGATGGTTTAAAAAAGTCATATAAGGAGAACAAGTGAACCTGTTCTATACCACATAATTCTGGTTAGTATGGCTTTTTATGTAAAAAGTCAATCCAAAAGAGTAAATGGAACTACATTCTAGCTTAAATTATTTAAATTAGAATTTTGTATAAAAATCAACCTTGTAGGATTTTTCTAATAACTCTGGAGACAACAAAAAAGAGATCTGAATCAACTTTTGAAATCTATCCCCTCCCTCTCTTTAAAATTCCTCTCTGCTTGGTTTTTCTGACAACAGTTCTAAGTTCTCAAACCATCTTTAGGAGGCTATGTTTGCTGAATCCTTTCTCCTCTTGTACCCTAGGAAAAAATGAGGCTTTTTATTCTTGTCCTGAAATCTCCACCCTTTTCACTCATATCATGTTATTTCACAAGGGCAAAAAAGACCGAAATGCCAGGCTAGTGGGCAGAATGCTCCTTGATCTGGATCTGGCTCAGCTAAAGCCTCCCCAGAACATTCCAGATCACACTTCTCCTGCCAACCCTCCAAATTTAAATTATTTAATCCAGCCCTGGCTGGTGTGGGTCAGTGGACTGAATGCCAGCTTGTGAACCAAAGGGTCACTGGTTTGATTCCCAGTCAAGGGCACATGCCTGGGTGGCAGGCTGGGTCCCCAGTGGGGGAAGCACAAGTTACCACACATTGATGTTTCCCTCTCTTCCTCTCTGTCTAAAAATAAATAAATAAAATCTTAAAAAATAAAAACTAAATTATTTAATCCGTAAGTGGTTTATGATAATTCTGTTTTTCCCCTTAAATTGGAAATACAGTAGTTTTAAAATCTTCAAGTTCTGTGTAACAGAAAAATATTTATGCTAGAATATTTAGGGGACAAGGGTCTTGAGGTCTGTAACCTCCTTTCAAATGATTCAATAGCAACACAGGTATATACAGAGAGAAAGAGGAGACAGAGAAGAAGGAGAAGGCAAACAGCAAAATGTTATGCTGCATCTAGGTATAGGGTGCATATTGAACTTGTCTTTAAACATGTGCTCGAAAAATTCAAAATAAAAAGTTCTGAAAATTTTTTCTCTCTCTGATACTCTCCAAATAATTCCACTGAATGAAAATTGTTTCAGTTAGACTTCTCTCTAGTTCTCCATAAAGTTCTTTTGTGAGAAATAATAAAATAATGACTTCAGGTACCTTTCCTGTGTGATAGAAGTTTGGTGTAATAAAATTGTTGGGATTAGTAAATTAGAAAGTTCTCATATTTTAGAAATGCTCAATATCTAGTCTTCGGCTTAACAGAAATACTTTAATGTCAGTGTCTGGAATATAGAACATTGAAAGTTTTGATGCCGGCATGAACAAATCTTATATTTAGTCTTTCTTGAAAGGTCTTAAAGTTGAATTTTAAGGTTAAGCATACACATTTATCTCTCAAGATAAGCTGTAGGGGAAAAGATATGCCTTACTAGCTTTATATTCCGCAAAATACCAGCATATAGTAAAACTTGAACTTTAAAATTAAACAGAAAGAGCACTATAATGAAATTTTTTAATTGATTTGTATCTTTTTGAGCATAATATATAGATTTCTTATAAAATTAATGTGCCTGAAGCTCACATTATTAGAGTATTGCCAGGGAGGAACTCACTGGCTGGGGCTTGGTTGGACTTCCTCCCAAACAAATAAAATATTATCTTGGGTCAGTATCATGCTCATGTAAGAACAGAGCAGTTCCATGAAGAACTGTGGGTGGAATTGGGAGAAGGTCAGGGTCCTGAACAGTGACAGACGCAGAGTCCCACAGATATCCAGCTTACTTCCTCTTTACTCCCTCTGTTCTTACAGAAGTTGCCCTGGCCTGGGGTTAAGTCCTTGTCATTTTTCTTGCCTTTTCTTTTTCTTTATTTTTTTTTAAGAAACTTTAAATTTTTAAATTTTAAAGATTTTATTTATTTACTTTTTTAGAAAGAGGGGAAAGGAAGGAGAAAGAGAGGAAGAGAAACATCAATGTGTGAGAGACACATCAATCGGTTGCCTCTTGCCTGTCCCTAACAGGGAGGCCTGGCCTGCAACCCAGGCATGTGCCCTGACTGAGGATCAAACTGGTGGCCAGTTCTGTGCTCAATACTGAGCCACACTAGCCAGGGCTTTCTTGTCTTTTCTATAACTATTCAGTTACTTAAGTATTATTATTCAGTTCCTAAACTAATGTTTTCACTGCCTTGATGCAGATTTTAATGTTTTACTACAACATTAAAAAAAACATTTTATTTAGTATTTATTTTTAGAGATAGGGAAAGGGATGGAGAAAGAGAGGAAGAGAAACATCAATCAGTTGCCTCTCCCGCACACTGCAACTGGGGATGGGGCCTGCAGCCCAGGCATGTGCCCTGACTAGGAATCAAAGCAACAACCTTTTGCTGTGCAGGGTGATGCTCAACCGAGACACACCAGTCAGGACACTACAATATTTTTTATGCCATTTTCAAACTCGTTCCTTTCATTAATATGGAACATTTTCTTCTTTTTCCAGTAAGTTGGTTAGTGATTATCAGAGCATATCAATATGACTGTTTTTATCATTTGAGTCTGACATGCTTATTTGGTTAGTAATAACATGTTACTATTTAGACCAAAGTCAGATATTCTATAACTGTAAAAGCTGGTTAACCTGCTTCTGTTTCATGACTGAATATTATACTGAGCACCTATTTGCCCTTCTAAAAAAAATCGCTATCTCATAGAAAATCATCACCACTACTAGAAAAATAACAGAAAGATTATGGTGTAATTAGAACAATATGATCAAATGTGTTTGGTTTTTGCTGCATGTTTCCTGAGGAAAGGGAAGTTAGCAAATATTTTCTCCTTTTCAACAAGGCAATTACCTTCCTAGGCAAGACAGCCTTAAATTGCTGAGAAAACACAGGAAATGGCATAAGATATATAGAAATTTCTAAATATTAAAAATATAGACATTTCCTTTATAAATTTGAGTACAAAATGGGACAGAATCAAGTGAAAGAAGCCCTAGGTATCACATGGCACCTAGGAAAAGGATAAAAACCTTCTGTTTCCTGCTTTTCCCACATCATACATGGGAACTAGTTTGCTTCTCCGATCAGTGGAATCAAAAGGGAAATTTTTTAGTACCTCATCATTTATATATGAATGCCAGTGGTCCTGGCTAGATGGGATTTAGTTAGGTTACATTCAAGCCAAAATGAAATGGTCTCTTCTCCAACAGCACAACTGTTAACATCTCAATTTTATGAATACACATTGTGGTACTCAGAAATATAAGACGCCCCCTAGTGCATACACCGTGCATAACTTCCTCCCTTAAATGCAGGCGGAAACTGAGTATGATGGAATATCACTCCAGTGATTAAATTGACTTTAAGTTAAAAAGGAATATTATCCAGGTGGGCCTAACTTAAACATGTGAGCCCTTAACAAGGTCTGGGCCATTTCTGCAAGAGATTCAAAGTGGGAGAGGGCATATGGGGGGGCGGCCATATCGTAAGCAACTGCGTAGGTCCTTAAGAGCTAAGAGCAGCATTGCCCAGCTGATGGCCAGCAAGAAAATGGGGCAGGGATGAAGGCGGGGGCTCTCCTACAGCTCAAGGAAATGGAGTGCTGCAAACAACCACATGAGTTTGGAAGAGGGCTTGAAGCTCTAGAAAGGCATGCAGCTGGCCAACACCTTGATTTCAGCCTTGTGAGATGTGCAGCAGTGAACTCATCTCTATCATGCCCAGATTTCTGATCTACAGTAAAAATAAGATAACAATTAGCTATTATTATAAGCCACTAAGTTTGTGGTAATTTGTTATACAGCAATAAAAAACTGATACACATGTATGTATATATATAATCATGTGTTGCACTGCATCCTTTCAGTGAACATATTCAATATAACATATCAAACAGTGGTCCTATACGATTATAATGTAGCTGAAAATTCCTCTTCATATAGTGACATTGTAACATGGTAGTCCTTGTAAGGTCAGAGCACTCACATGTTCAATAAGCCAGTCAGAGAAAGGCAAGTACCATATGGTTTCATTCATATGAGGAATCTAATGAACAAAATAAACAAACAAGCAACATAGAGATTGTCTCATAGAGAGCAGGCTGACATCTGTGGGGTATGGGATGCTAAGGGTGGTGCAGGGATTGAACCAAAAAAAAAAAAAAAAAAAAAGGAAAAAACTCATGGACACAGACACCAGTGTGATGACTGCCAGAGTGAGAGGTTGACAGGAGAGGTAGAAGGGAGAACACTGAAGATGAAAGCTGGTGAAAGGGGTCTTCACTTGGGATGGCGAACACAAAATACGGTGCACACACCATGTGTTGTAGAATTATGCACCTGAAACCTGTATACTTTTGTTATCCAGTTACCCCAATAAAGTCAATTAAAAAGAAAAAGATAAATAAATTACATGTGGTGATGCTCTTTTAAACAAACCAACAAACCTACTATGCTGCCCATCTTATAAAAGAAGCACATACAATTTTGTGCAATACATAAAGCTTGATAACAATAATAAACTACCTTACTGGTTTATGTATTTACTATTCTATATTTTTTATTATTTTAGAGTGTACTCTTTCTACTTATTAAAAAGATGTTTGCTGTAAAACAGTAGGCCCTGTTACTCTGGCAGTGGCCTCATATATCAGGTGTTTACCATGTCTCTTGATTGCAGCATTTTCTTTTGTGCTTGATTTAATTTCATGGTGCTTTTTACAGCAACATGCTGAACGGGGTTATAGCCTAGGAGAGAGAGGCTATATCATGTAACTAGGTGTGTGGCAGGCTATACCGTATGCTGTAAGTGGTCTCTGTGATGTTTGCACAATGATGAAATTGCATAATGATGCATTTGTCAGAATATATTTGTTAAGTGGTGCATGGTTATATTTAAAATGTTAATATATTGTCACTGCATAACAAAGAAATTAGAATTTATAAGATAGCTGTTCCAAACTGACATAAAGATCATGTTTCTTACCAGCAAACTAATAAAGATATTTGCAAGTTTTATGGTACTAACTGGCTTAATGCTTTAAAATCACTGGCTTAACCAACATACATTGGCTTAATGACTTTAAATTATTTGCTGATTTTTTAAACATTACTCTAGAATTTCACTATACTTTCTTCAAAAGTTGAAAGTTACATAAATCATATTCAGTGATATTACCTTAATATCACGAACTTCATATGCTATCCTGTGGTCAGTGACTCTATCCTGGGTGAAGTTGTACGTCCGAATTCTTTCTGACTGGGCTCTTGTTCCCACCTGTGCCATAATGAAAAGCAATTCATATTTTAACTTTATATTACCTTTTTATAAAGAAAAAAAGTACTGGTAAATTACTTTCCTATGTTAACAGTTTAAACATTTTCTAAAGTTATACATACAAAGTGGCAAAGAGCAAGAATGGACAAAACTTAATACAGGTTTTAAAGCTTAATAATGGAGTAGGAATTTATGTCTCCTTGGTACTTCAAACTCCAATTATATAAAACCAATTATCTTTCCACTCCAATCAGTTCTTCCTCTTAGTTTCTATAAATGACACCACAATGTTCCCTTTGATCCAAGTCGAAAATTCTGACATCCTGCAACTTAGCAAACATTTCATGGGAGCTTACTATCAGCCAGGCTTTGATACAGACACTGAAAACCATCTTTAACTCATCCCATTCTCTACCTGCCCACTCCCAATGGTGTCAAGGATCTCTTATTATATCTTGCCCTTTCCATTGCTACTATTTATCATTCAAGGGCTCTTTACTTCCTGTGAAATCTCCTGGTTAATCTTCTATTTCTCTGCTTACAGTGTGTTCCCCTGCTTAGTCTTCCTCAAGCAGAGTTTTCTGATCAATTCTCTTCTTTGGTTCTTTATCTACTAAGCAGGCACAACTCAACTCAGAATGCAAGGCACTTCATAATTTGGCCAACTTTCCCAGTGTGACTTGTGAAAATGATGTGTACCTCTATAATGCTATTCACTGCATCATATCATTACTATGTGTGTATGTGAACTCTGCTAAAACATCACCTCAGGTGATGCCCTTCCCTAACACCCTCCCACCATCTATGCCACTCCTGGTCCCAGTAATTGAAATATGTTATTTGCCTCCTTTGAAACTCCACACCTTGGAATCTTCATGGCAACCCAAAGTTTGCCTTATGCTATGGTTATTTATATTCTTCTTAGTCTGTGCATGTCTCTTAGCTCCCAACATACGATACATACACCACCCTCTCACTCCCTTTCACTTTTTAAAATAAAAAAAGGAGACATTTTCTAAAGCAAATAAATATGAAACTAAACTCCTAAATATGGCTGATCATCAGGAAAGTTTTGTAAAATTAAACATTCCATAGCCCAAGCTCAGATATACTGAATCAGGGATTGTGCATTTTATTTACATATTTAAATTAAAAAAAAAAAAACTTTAGCTGAGAACATTTTTTTTCATTGCCTTTTTCAGAAAGAGGAGAGGGGCTGAGAGAGAGAAACACCGATGTAAGAGAGAAATATCAACTGGTTTCTTCTCATAGGCTCCCCTACCAACGATTGAACCCAGAACCCAGGAATGTGCCCTGACAGGGAATCGAACCCATGACCTTTCAGTGTATGGGATGACACTCCAACTGAGCCACACCAGCCAGGGCAGGGACTGTACATTTTAAAAACATTCCCTAGGCCATCCATTCTGTAACCAGCAGGTTTGGAAACTACTGTCCCAAAGCATGGTATCAATGTCCAGGACCCCACCCAGAGCAATTCCAGAATCTCTGAGAGTGGGACCTAGGCATCTACAAAGCTCTTTAGGTGATAAGTAGAGCCAGGGTTGAGAACCTGGCATAATGCCTTTCATATAAAAGCTACTGTATATATTAGCTGAAGAAAAACTTCTAAGCATTAGAAATACCTACTAAGAAATTTCAAACACATGGACAAGTTAATTGGGAAGCATGGAGGTCTTTTCTGGCCTCTCAAACCAGGCAATTAAAGATGATATATACATACAATTCTCATAAGGCTAATCTTCAATACTTATTTTAAAATTTAATAAGTGAGCCCTGACGGGTGTGGTTCCATTGGTTGGGCATCGGCCGACAAAGCAAAAGGTCGCTGATTCGATTCTTGGTGAGGGCACATGCCTGGGTTGTGGGTTTGGTTCCCAGACGAGGTGCGTTATGAGAGGCAACTGATCGATGTTTCTCTCTCACACTGATATTTCTCTCCCTCTCTTTCTCCCTCCTTTCCCCTTTCTCTAAAAATAAATAAATAACATCTTAAAAAAATACATGAAACCTCTAGTGCCAAAATGTCAAATAGCAAATAAATCCAATGTCTTATATTAAGTGTGGCAGATTTCACAATGTTTATATTATCACTCATTTGCCAAGAAGTAATGGTTCATAAATGAGTGTTCCTATCTGTAAATGTATAATACTGATGCTGTGCCACAATCTGGCATTACCACTAATAGAAGAGTAACATATTATTTATCCTGTTGTTTTAACTACTTGCAAGTGGGCAAGGGAAACCAGAAGGGAAAAAGAGTAAAAAGACTAGGACATCTAGGCAAAAAGAATAATGTTTAGTTCTAAGGAATTGATTATGCTATAAAGCCACAAAGTCCTCCAAATTTACTGTTGCATACAGATCTGCAAATAACACAAAAACACAGTTATTTCTAGATTTCACATTTTCTTCTAACATCTCTCAAATACGAACTGTTTTTTAGGATTTAAAATCAAACAACACTTTGTTTACCTAAAACAATGACATATAATCATTGTGCTTATGACCCATCTATAGATGTGAATAAATAATACTGTTCTTGTATACGGTACAAAATTCTAAAAGTACAAAATGGTATATAATGAAAACTAAATCTTCTACTCCTTGCCCTAGTCTCCTCAGTAGCAATTGCTGTTACCAGTTTTTTGTAGTGTCATTTATTTTTGATCTCATATAGTTATAATAAAAGCATAGGCTTTTAGATTTTAAAAAATCTCTTAATTTCCAGAGAATTATTTTGTTTTTTACACTAATTTCCTGTCAAGTTATGTTATAAACACTGGAAAGAAACAACTGGGAAATAATTTTTAGTTTATGCATATGCCATACACTCATTTACAAGCTGTCATGTCCAATTTTAGTCATAATCTGTCAGTCCAAATGCATTTAAAACTATTGCTCATTGACAAAGAAAGCATGTTTCCCTATGCTTTAGTATACGTCCACTCAATTAAAAACAAATACCACATCTTCTACATAACATCACTTTTTGTACAGAGGTATTAAATTATACCAAATAAATCTTACCTGCAGTTTTCTAGCACTTTGTTGTTGACACTTGTCTTTTTCAATAATCTGCTGGTAGAGTCTAGCTCTCAACACACGCAAAGCTATTTCTTTATTTTTTATCTGTGATCGTTCTTGTTGGCATTCCACTACAAGCCCTAAAAAAATAACAGGGATCAGAGGTAAGCTGTAGCCTCCACAAGCCAAAGTAAGATAGAAGTGTCAGTTATAGTTCAATAAAACTGGGAAAAAAAGAGACAGACTCGAGGAATAGTTTAAAGAAGGAATGTTTATCAAGAAAAGATCACAAAGGGTTAAATACATTTTAGACTTGGCATACTTCAGAAACTACACCTGGGTTATGATGTTAGCAGGGTAGATGGCTATTTAGATTCTGATATCTAAATGAGATATTTCGGATGAGAAAAGCAGTAGCACCTGCTAATGGTTACACATAATTTCATTCCCAGAGCTCTGCCTCTCCAGCCCAGCCAGCTCATCCAGACACTGCTTTTGTAGCTCAACAAAGAGCAAACTGCTGCACCGTCATGTAGTGCTACTCCATTCTCTGTCCTACATGAGTAGTCAGTTCTTCTCCTTTAAATCACAAATACACACCAAACTGATGTTTTAAAAATGACTTTATATATAGAAACTATTGAAAATAAACAGCTCAAACTCTTTCAAAGGAAGAGATCATAATGAATGTTTCTCAGTTGTCTTGGTTCTAAATCCAGCTAATCAACACAGCTAATCACATGTTTCAGATAACCAGCTTCTGAATTTGGGTGAATTCAGCCCATTGTGGAGCCCGGTAACTAGCCCAAATGTAATTCTGGAATGGTGACACCTTGAAACTTTAGGCTGCTGTTTTTAACTTTGCAGCTACCACTCTGAAGGTCTGTATCCAATCCTGCTCCCAGGTTAGAGGGCCCACTGCACTGATAGGGTGGTAAGTATTTTGCTGGAGATTTTAAAATGTCTATAAAATCCTACTCTCCAAACTACTGTCAAGGGATTGTGCCACCTCACAGTTAATCCTGAAACTGCTAATGACTTTCTTGTCGTCTAGTCTTCTCCTAATTCTCTAACATAGCCCCTGACAAAAGCAGGCTAAACTCATCAAGAAAAGATGGATTGTTTGTTCTTTCGGTGTTGACTTTTATAAGTACTTTATAAATTTTGGATATTAACTCCTTAGCAGATGTATCATTGGAGAATATGTTCTCCCATTTAATCGGCTGTCTTTTCATTTTGTTGATGGTTTCCTTTGCTGTGCAAAAACTTTTTAGTTTGATGTAGTTTCTTGTTTCCCTTGCCTGAAGAAATATATCAGAAAAAATACTGCTACAAGTAATGCCTGAAATTTTACTGCCTATGTTTTCTTCTAGGATTTTTAGGGTTTTGAGTCTAACATTTAAATCTTCAATCCATTTTGACTTTATTCAAAATGGCATAACAAGGTGGTCTACTTTCATTTTTCTGCATGTATCTGTCCAATTTTCCCAACACTATTTATTGAATAAAATATCTGTAGCCTATTGTATGTTTTTGCTTTCCCTGTCAAATATTGACAATGAAGGCATGCGTTTATTTCCAGAGTGAGCTTAAGCTTGTGGGTAGGAACCAGGTAAGAAACTCAAGAACCACAACTAAAAAACTGGTTTAAGCTGAAAATACCACCATGATGAAAGACAAGTGAACTTTAGGTGAACTGTGACTCTCTGACATATTAAAATCACTATGGAAGTGAGGGGAAAGTTAGGCACATTTTGGGTGGTATGCAAAAGGAAGGGGATAACTGCACATATGCCCCCTTTCCGACACAACATGTGCCTCCTTGAAGAAATTCGATCCTCTAGATTCTTGACATGTGCCTTAGTCTTTCCCTGGTTCTTTAAATTTACCCAATCATTTCACTGGGGTGAGAAGGTGCTTGTTGAGTGCAAGCTCACCCTCCTCCATTCCCTGATCAAAGAATAAAGTTTCTGTTCTGCTTTACTGAAATCTGTATGGTTTTATTGGCCTGAGAGACACTGGATGGAAGGATGTTGATTCTGGGTCCCTGATCCACAAGGGTTGGTGACACTATGTTTTCACGCTGTCTAAATAAGCTACAATCTACACTGACTAATACTTTAAGGGGGACACCTAAATTTTACGTCTTTTAGTTCAGATTTATTTATTTGCTTTTTTTTTTAACCCTCACCAGAGGATATGTTCATTGATTTTAGAGAAAGAGGAAGGGAGGGAGGGAGAGAGTGAGAAAAAGAGAGAAAAATATTGATGTGAGAAACACTGATTAGCTGTCTTCTATACACATCCCACCCAACCAGGAATCAGAACCAATAACCTATGTATGTGTCCTGACCAGGAATCGAGCCTGCAACCTTTTGGTGTACAGGATGATGCTCCAACTAACTGAGCCCCCTGCCAAGGTTAAACTTATTTCTTGAGTTCTCTACTGCAGCCATGTGTTTGGGCTGGAGTACCAACTGGTTTCCATCTTCCAGGCATTTGCCTGGAACTGTCTTAAATCTGGTATCCTTTTTTCACCACCTAAAAGAATGTGAAAATTTTGCCCTGGCTGCTCTGGCTTAGTGGACTGAATGCTGGTCTAGGAAGCAAGGGGTTGGTCGATGGATTCCCAGACAGAGCATATGCTTGGGTTGCCGGCCAGGTGCCCAGTAGGGGGGTGCGCGAGAGGCAACCACACATTGATGTTTCTCTCCTTCTCTTTCTCCTACCCTTCCCCTATCTTTAAAAATAAATAAAACCTTTTAAAGAAAGGAATATGAAAATTTCCATTACAAGATAGCTAGATAGTCATAAGGTTTTTTTCAAATTCATCTCCTTGTCAGCTGACCTGTACTGATTTTTGCTTAAGACTCCTGAGCTATTCCTATCCAGCAGCTCAGGCTAGAACTTATATGGCATAACACTCTTACTTAGCAGCTCGGTAATCCCTAAGGGAATCTTGTGATCTTATGTTTTTAATACCTTCCTATATGGGAATATTTAATCATAAATGCTCCTTCAAGAATAGAGGATTTGGCAGGGGTGAAAAGGTGTGCTAAATAATAGAAGAGCTATTGAAATAAGGTGCTGGGGCTGTTATAAAACTCTAAAAGGGCTTTTAGAAAAAATAAGTTTTCTCAGTGTTGTTTCAGTACTCTACAGGAGATTCCAAAATTGTAAGTAGTAATAGCACAAAGTGGTATTTAATATATATTTGCTGAATAACTACATATATTATTTAAAAGAATTTCAATTATAAGGGAGAACAAAAATACTGTATAATTTTTTTTAACCTCTTTGAAATTGAATTGCATCTTACAATCATTGGCATAGTTCAATTAACAGAATTTTTTATATTTCTTCATAGGAATAAAATAGTCTTGTGTTTGCCAATGGATGGGTTCTTAGATGACAGAAATTATATATAATCAGAGGTTAAATAAAAATTGAGCTATATAGAAGCAGTAGGTTAGAAAAAAATGTGATTCTTCAGAGTCCATGTGACTAGAGGAAAAGGAAGAATGACCTAGAGTTCTTACTTCCAAATCTATCTAGAACATACTTTCCACTCTAAGGGTCTTGGGATAGAAGAAATAGCCGAAAGGCTGAGTTTTCTTTGTAGCAGGCACTGAAATCATGACAAACTTCAAAGTATGAAGAAGAGGATTCATGAAATCATTTGCTCGTAGATGTATGGATTCATGAGTTAATAGACCTTGACATGCGTTGTCTCGGAAAGGTTTGAGGGTGAGCCTTAAGGCCCCTTTTACGTCAAAGAACCATTATTTAAGTGGCAAAAAAATAATTTGGCCCAAGATAAGTTTGAAAACACAAACAACAGTCACTTCTTGTAAATTAGGTACTTTATGGCTGCACAGGGTGGCTTTACAATCCTTTAATATGTTTTAAAGTATTCGGGCTCATTTCATCAAAATTTTTATCACCTTTTAACCCTACTTTTTTTCATTTTAATTAATCTAAAGTTAATTATTACTGTTCTGGACTGCTTATAATATAGAACAGTACCTTACAAAATAAAACACAAATATCCAATAATTTGTGTATTTCTTTTCTTTTAAGATTTTATTTATTTACTTTTAGAGAGAGGGGAAGGGAAGGAGAAAGAAAGGAAGATAACATTGGTTGGTTGTCTCTCACATGCCCCCAGCTGGGGACCTGGCCCAAAACCCAGGACATGCGGTGACTGGGAATCGAACTGGCAACCTTTCGGTTCACAGGCTAGCACTTAATCCACTGAGCTATACCAGCCAGGGCTCTGTATTTCTTAGGTAAATTATGGTAAGCTGCACAAATTATAACTTCCTTTTTGGTGAAAAAGGATATATTTCTACATGTGCATAGACAATAATTAGAAAGGATACACACCAAAGATACGTACTAGCAATGGTTAGTAAGTATATCTATAAATGTTTTCTGTTCTTATTTTGCTCATGTATATATTCTAAGTTTTTATAGGTTCTTAAAAACTAAAAATCAATACACAACACTTAAGAGACATTATAAAATTATCATACTCTTAGATATTTAGATCGTTTTAACGTTTGCTATTACAAACAGTACAAGCAATAATTGACTGAAAATGAACTTAAAACTTAAAAGTGATATTTGGACTTCTGGCCAATATTGAGGCATAGGTAGATACACTTTGCCTTCTCACACAACCAAAAGAAGGACAAGAACAAATTTAAAAACAAAAACTAACCAGAACTGTCAGAAAATCGAATTGTACGGAAACGTGACAACAAAGGAGCGAAAGAAACATTTGTCCAGACCAGTAGGAGAGGCAGAGGCGGGCAGCTGAGGCTGAGAGGACGCGTGGCAAGGCAGTGGCTGGAGGACCGGGTGGGCGAGGCGGCAGCTGGTGGGCTGGGCAGTCCCACATTTGCATGTGGATAAACTATGAGGAACAGCTGGGGAGCAAGACTGATCATACAATCCAAGGTTCCAGTGAAGGGAAAGACAGCCTCAAAACCCCTGGAGGTAAAAAACTGTGGGGGCAGTATTGGCAGGAAAAACTCTCAGCCTCACAGGAGAGTCCGTTGGAGAGACCCACAGGGCCCCAGAATGTACACAAACCCACCCACCCGGGAAATCAGAGCTAGAAAGGCCCAATTTGCTT